TGTGCCATCGGGGTTAGGTTTTGGTCGCTTGGCAAAGACGTTGTAAAACAAGCCAATCGATTCGTGAGCTCTACAGCCAGGTTGCCGCTCTTTTTTTTTTCGTTTTTCTTTTTTGCGGTAAACCATAACCGCGCGGGGGGGGTGTACTCATAGTCGTGCACGCCGTAGTCGTTAGACTATTGACCTCGCATCCCTACAAAGCCGGGACGGAGCACGCCGGGTTCTCACCGGACCAGGCTCTCACATCACCAAGCGCGAAGCGCCGTGAGATATTCGGCGAGTCGCATGAAGGGTGCGCTGCATCCTGCTAAGGGTGTTCGGCATCTTGTGCTTACTTCCTTGCGTACGGATGACAGCTGCGTATGAATTAATTTATTTTCTGGTGCTTTCACTTCCAGAGACAGTTGTAAGAGCTGTGTAACTGCCTCGAGGGTGCTTGGCCAATTTAACACAACGTGTTGCGATCATCCCCCTTGCGCGGAGTGAGGGTTCTCGACCCTGCACAACATGATCTACTCGACCACCGTTATGGTTACCGCCAAAAAAAAAACAGAGGTAAAAATAAACAAACGGTAACCTGGTTGCCAAGTTCACAAAGTGAATTGACTTGTTTTACAACGTCGTTGCCAGGCGACGAAAACCCAATCCCGATGGCAAACACCAAGGGGGGGGGGCTTGTTTTACAACGTCGTTGCCAAGCGACGAAAACCCAACACCGATGGTTGACACCGGGAGGGGGGTGGCAATCGTGTTCGTACCTTGCCGCCCTCGTCTTGCCCTTCGATATGGACAGTGCAAGCGCGGAGGAAGCCTCCGAGGGACGAAGGGCTGCGCTGCTTCCATGCCTGCAGCGACAGGCGTCAAGAGAGCCCAGAGAGACAAGATGGGAGAACGCACGGAACCGGCCATCACTTTGAACTTTCATTGCGTACAACAGCAAGGTGTGGCCGGATCTGTTCAAGGCAGTAAACATGTAGAGAAGTCAATATTCTACAGCTATTTCACATAGCGTGGGTAGAACAGTTGGAATACGGATAGAAAACGTAAGAGGTTTACACTAATTTTGATGCTTGCACCTGGGGACAGAGGCGTTGATGCACACACCCATCACGCACACATACACACAGCAGAGGCCCCCTGCGCACCAGCTCCGTTGTTTCCCTTTGAGAATGAGAATTATTCAGGCGATCTCCCGGTACACGCTACCTGTCTACAGTCAGAGGAAAACACGTCCATGTAGAAAACCCATCTATCTCACGTCCAAACCAGCGTCCCCGGCCTGTGCCAGAACCTTCGCCAGCGTTCGGAGCGCGCTCGCGCCGAGCAACGGGTCCGGGGCGTCGGGACTGTCACCCTCCCCTCCCCCCGCCGCCACGAGAAGCTTGTCCAGGTGCCCGTTCGCAACGAGGTGACGCGCGCCGCCGGCTGTCGAGGCCACCTGCAACAGCAACAAGGGGCGGAAGTGTGATACTTCAAGCATGACAGAAAGCCGATCAAGAGGGTGTGCGATACCCCAAGCCCCAAGCATGCAGGAACGCCGATCCAGGGGTTAAGCATGAAGCACGTGGCAAACGGTACACACACCCGGTCGAGGAGGTCCAGCGCGTTCAGCTGAAGAAGCACGTCAGAGGCATCCTCCGTCAGGTCGGTCACCAGGGCAAGCGCGCCCGAATCCACAGCCGCCGCAAACGCCGAGTCGGAGGCCGACATCAACCTGCGGCGTGCCAAACAACAGCCCACGCACGCCGGCGCACACACACAAAGAGGGCGTCCATTGAAAACGTTCTATATTGTCCGGCTGACGCTTGTCTTCCATTGATCAGCGTGGATTGCAAGCGCGGTCAGGGCCAATGCAAAAAGGCAGATCGTACATACACACACCGATTTGCGCACGTGAGCGACGATGCTCAGCATACGCTCGAAGTCGGAATAGGACGGAAAACAAGGTCATATTTTTCATACCATGGCAAGACCTACCGTTTCTTTCCTTTGTACAACCCAAAAGCAATAATTTGTGGAGAGAAACGAACACAAATTATCACTTGCTCAGCTTGGCAGACCTGGTTGCGATATCAGCGAAACGAAGCTTTGGCGTCGCCGCCTGCCGGGCAGTCAGCCCGGCGATCACCTCGCCGATCTGCGACGCGAGGGCTCCCATCACTGCGCGGCGGCAGCCGGTTGCCACGCCACCGGTCGCCGGAGTAACGGCTGCCCGGCCGTCTGCCTCCTCACACAGAGCCACCAGCGTGTCAGCTACTTGCTGCTCTCCGCGGAGGTGGTCACCGACCGAATAGTGTGCAGTCGCGCCCGCGGGGTGGGTGGAGGTGGAGGGGGCTGGTCAGAGCGGGGTATCGCTCGTTGTTGTTCGTGGCTGTGCTTTCAGGCGGGTTGATTCCGTGCGCTATTAGCCGCTGCTACCCAGTGTACCCCCACAGCGTTCTTCCTGATCTAGTCTACAACATTGAACAACGAGGTGATGGAGAGGAAAGACAGGCCCAGCGGTAGATGGCGGCAAACATAAAACCCTCCTGCCATCGTCCTGCACTACCGGAAGACGAGAAAAAACAAATCTCGTCCCCTATCTTCCCCTTCTCTTTCCAGGCAAATGCAGCAATCCAAGAAGGAAAATGAGCCAATTTCTTGCCTGCGACGCGCCGGTGTCGCCGTCTCCGAGCGCAGCCACGAGTGACGGTAGCAGGGGAGGCTGCAGAAGTGTTCGACAACGCTCGGCGCGTTCTCGCCCCTCCTCCTCCGATTGCCCCTTCCCCCTGCTGCTGCTGCTGCTGCTGCTGCTGCTGCCGCTGCCAAGACCGAGCGCGACCATGGCTGTGGCGGTGAGAGTCCTGACGCCGGCGGCCGGGTGACACAACCCCGCCAGGAAAAAGGCCACGAGCTCCGTGCCATTCTGAGCAAGATTTGTCCGTGTTGTCACACGGCGGAGGAGGGTAAGAGGCGGTGGTGTGGTCGCCACAATAAAAGTTGGTTTGGATTAGGTTGCGGTGACGGGGCATTCCAGCAAAATTAGTGCAGGCTCGGGCGTGTAAAAGGGCTTGTTGTGCCCTTGCTCAAACTTGCTGTGATCTCACGGATGTTTAACTTGGTGCCCTAATGCCCCTTGACCTCCACGGCCAGTGATTTCCCCCGCAGTCGGAAGCCGCAAGCACGCACGCGTGTCATTGCATCACCTTCGCCTCCGCGCGTCACTCATGACTTTCATCTCTGTCTGTCTGTCTGCCTGACTGCCTGCTCTCTGTCTCTGTCTCTGTCTATCTTTCTGCCTGTCTCTTCCTCTGTCTCTGTCTCTGTCTCGCCATCTCCCTCTCTGTCTTGTCAATGCTACAGTCATGAATCCAGCCAGCACAGTACTAACGCCAATATGGCGGGCAGCGGGATACAGCGGTACATCATATGTAGTCCTCCTTGTATCTACATGTACATCGAATCACCGAACAAGCCTCTCAAAGCATGCTCCGCCGTGCCTAAGAGCCAGTCCCCTGGCAGGGAGTCGATGATTTCACTCGCAATAGCGACCTGATGTGTTTCACTTTGAAAACATACAGCGGCAGGAGCAAGAGAAAAATCATTCAGCAGGTCCACTAGCCGGCGGGACAGCGCCCGCTTTGCCTGTGGAGGGACATCCAAGCTGCCTCGCGCACCTGCTGATACATCTCTGGACCGACCGTAGATCCAAAGACGGAAAGTAGCGCCGTCTCCACCGCCCTGCGTTTCACCTCGTCCCCCGTCTGCCCGTAGCTAAAATCCACCGCGAGGAACAGAAGCCGCGGCTCCACGTCCTTGAGGAGCCCCAGGGCCAGCTTTCTCTCCGTCGCCCCGCCGTCTGCCGTTGTTTCTCTCGACCTCGATGATAGGAGGGCAAGCCTGTACAGATCGAGCCGGCGCCAGAGCTCCTGCGACTGCATCCTCTGCTTGATTTCGGTCTCGCAATTCGCCTCCTTCATAGACGTCATGTTCTCAAGCGGCCCGCTCATGCCTGTACGACCACGCCGCGTCGAGCGCTGCTACAGCGGGCTCCCTGTATCCCTGCTGACTGTGGCTTGCCCGCGATGCCGTGATGCCGTCGTGCGGTGGCGTCGGACCGAAGTGCGGCGTAACTAAAGAAGTGCAGTTTGGAGTTTAACAGAAGTTGGATGCTGCCAACGGGAAGCAGGGATTGAACAGCTGCGGCCACCGAGGTTGGTCACTACAGCAGTGGCGCCCGCAGTTAAGAAAATTTGTTAAGAAATTGAGGCTCACTTTTTCACGAAAAATAAGAAAATAGGAACAAGGTGAATATGTTCTCCCGCGCCGCACATGCCCCCACACGTCACACACAAAAAATAAGTTGATGACGAAATATACACACCCCGAGACGCGCTTGCTCCGCAAACACAAAAGGGTGCCATAATAATAGAACACACCCGACAAACCGAGTTCCCCTAAATCTTCCGTCTACAACTTCCCAACATAACATACACATAGATACACAAGATGGCTATCAAACTGCCTTGTTGAGCCTGTTACCCACAGGGGAGATATCGTTGTATGCTGCCTGGGAAACCGTAGACATACAGGTAGCCTTTCGCTCACGCTATGGATTCATTGCTAATCTATCTTGTTGTTGTTGTCTTCACATTAAATAAACCGTATGTCAGTTGCTAAATGCCAAAATCTAGCAAAAGACTCTNTGTTGTTGTTGTCTTCACATACATTAAACCGTATGTCAGTTGCCAAATAAATGCCAAAATCTAGCAAAAGACTCTCAGCCCGTGGTCACGAAAGCGCTAGA